ACACACGTAACACGTACCCGGTGACCACGTCAATGGACAAAACCCGCGTCCTTCAGTGGACAATGGGTACCCCTAACCTAAGTGTAACAGCAGTTGGTGACATTTACACACTGCTTACACGGTGCCAGGTGCTTCATGAAAGACACATAGGAAGGACTGTCCTGTGCCCTACTCCGCCAATGTTCCAGGCGAGGAGGCTGAGGCACAGGAAAGAGGAAGACAATGTTTTGATCCCAAGCTCTGGGATTGCTGACTTGTTCAAGAATGTCCCAGTCACAGGGACAAGTTGGACAAGTCAAGTTGGCTCAGCCTGGATCCAGGAATAGCCTGGAGTAGGGTGGGGCTAATTGCCAAGAGGGTTGGTTTTGTTTTGTAGACTAGGTTATCAGTAGCCCAGGCTCATGCTGTGGAATTAGTTGTGTCATTGAGTCTAGCCCTGAACTTCTGATCCTCCTGCCTCCACCTCCCGAGGGCTGGGATTACAGTTCTGGGCCACTTTGTCGGCTGCAGGCAGGAGAGGACAGTCAGAGGGACCCCAAGCTTGCATTTAATATTCAAACACTGTTGTTGGAAACAGTGCAGTTTACCAGGGCAGAAAACCACTTTCAGTAATGTTCTCCACTAGGCAAGGAGACCCCTGGGTGAATTCAGGTGCATTTCCCCCTTTCTTTCTGCCTTTTTTTTTTTTTTTTTGACTGGAATTTGTAGACAGGCTGGCCTTAATCTCAGAGATGTACAGCCTGCCTCTGCCTCTCCTGTGCTGTGATTAAAGATATGAACCACCATGTCCAGCCAAAATCTCTCTATTCTTCCCTTCCTCCCTCGTGCATGCTGTCGCCCAAGGCCTCTTTAAAAATGACTGGCACGAATATGTGCATGTGGTGCTCATAGGTCAAGTGGGTTCCTTCCTCATTCTCTCACCTCATTTTCTGGGACAGGGTTTCTCACTGAACCTGGAGCCAAATGATTGGGTAGACTGGCTGGCCAGCAAGCTCCGAGGGTCCTCCTGTCTAGTCTTTCCCAACACTGGGATTATCATGGGACCTGGCTTTTTATTGTTTTGGTTTTCAAGACAGGGTTTTTCTGGCTGTCCTGGAACTCACAGAGATCCACCTGCCTCTGCCTCCCAAGTGCTGGGATTAAAGGTGTGCGCCACCACGCCCAGCTGGTGCCAGGCTTTTTACATGGCTGTTGAGGATTCAAACTCAGATTTTCATGCTCGCCTGCGAACACTTTACTGACCGAGTCATCCCCCCAGTAGCCCCTTTTTACTTTTTACCTTAAGACAAAGGTCTCGCTAAGCTGTCCAGGCTGTCCTGGAAGCCACTCTTATAGCTCAAGCTGGCCTTGAACTTGTAATTCTCCTGTCTCAGCCTTCCAAGTAGCTGGGATGACAGGCTTGTACCATTAGGCTTGGCCTGTTTCTATTTTCTCCCTGTCTTTCATGAACTGAGATAGGATGGGAAAGGATGCAGGTCCCACAAGAATACCAGAGTGTGCACATGCACTCCAAGCATGTAAATGTTGGCTGTTCGCAGCTGAAGCAGGGCAGGAGCCTAGGCTGGGAAAAGGGACGTTCTGAGTGTGAGGTTTGTACTTGGCGGCATTTGATTTCTACATGTGAAGTTTTCAGTGAGAGGAGCAGAGCGTAACTGTGGACTTGAACTCAGTACTTTGAGATCAGGACTGTGAGGGGCCTCAGGTTCTAGTCCCAGGTCCTGGCATGCTCTATGGGATCATGGGCCTGGGCTCTGAGCCTCACTCTATCTCTCCTGGACAGAGGAACACCTGGAAAGCAGGAAGCATTGTGTAAAGTTACCATCCTGACCGTGTGGTGTCACCGAGAACTGTCCTTCCTCTTCTCCCCTGACTTCTGACCTTTGAACTTCCCTGTCATCTCTCTGAGTGGAGAGGCCCGTTAAGTATTTTGGTGGTGCTGTTGGTCCCCAAAACCTGGGTAGCAGAATGGTGGCTGTGAGGTTGGAGGAGGTCGGGACCAGGAAGGGCAGTCACCCGAGGAGCTGCAGGCGTCCACTCTCCTTGTCAGGGCCAGCCAGCAGCAGCAGGTCTGGCAGTTCCAGGGCTGGACTAGAGGCTGCCACCCCCATGGTGACCTTGTTGGCGACTTCTCCAAACCGGGTCACCTGGGGCCAGAGGTTAGAGGCAGGATGGATGGAGAACAGAACTGAACAGAACTCTGATGGGGGTCGGGAATCTTGACAGGGTCATGAACTAGGGGAGTTGAAAGGGGGTTGGGGGCTGGAAATATGGCAGCTCAGTCTACTGCACCGGCCTAGAACCCCCGAGTGCGAGGCCCCGGGGTGTGGCTAAGCGGTGGAGCTCCTGCCTAACGGGAGCCCTGGGTACTATCCACAGCACCACAAAAGGAAAAAGGTTGTGGGCCACATATTTTAGGATTAAAGGATAACAACCGTATATGTGTGCGGTCAATGAAACTGAGTCAAAGGCTTCTGAAGCCACAAACAGCCAAAGGATTTTGGCTGTGAGGTGAGAGGGCTCCGGGGTCATGTGAACACTTGGAGTTCCACAGGGCGATGATCATGGGGGTCAGCCACAGTTCGCAGAGCAGGGGCTCCGTACACCAAGGGGCGGAGGTCCGGGGCTCCACACCTGCACGAAGTTGCTCTCGAAGATGGGGAAGTCGCGCAGCTGGTCGAACTCGCCGCTCAGGAGGTGGCGCTGGAGGCGCCCAGGGCGGCACGGGGCGTAGGCGGGAACCACGGGGCGGTCTGCAGGGGCGAAGGGCTGGCATCCACCCCAGGAGGCCAGGTACGACTCCCCCGACAGGGGACGCACGCGAGGCAGCGGCCTCCGCATTGCCGGCCCCATGCCTTCCCGGGCTCCCTCACCAGGGCCAACCCCTCCGGGCAGGGATCCTCCTCTCACCTGCCATCCCATCTGAACCGGCCTCACCAGCTCCACCCCGGACTGGCTTAGGATCGCGCCCGCCCTTCATCGCCACGCCCCGGCCCCGGGTGGGAACGCAGGGTGGAGCCCAAACCGGAGAGCCGGGGGCGGGGCCTCGCGCCTGTGACGTCACAACAAGCGCCCGGCGTTCGGTGACGTCACGAGCGTTGCCGCTCTCTCCTGGGAGGTAGGGCCGGGTTGGGGAGCCTTAGAGACCCGGATGGAGAAATGGCCGCCATGACGGAGGGGGCAGGCGACCGGGCGCTAGTGCGCAGGGGCGGCCCGCGGCGCAGGCGCAGGCGCCTCGGCATGCGCTCTGTGGCTCCCAGCGTGCTTTACGGCGCTGGGCTCGTCTCCGATCCTCGGTATGGTGACCGCGGGTGCTAGGGCGACCCGGCTGCTCGTGCTGTTGCTGATAGCAGCCGCGGCCCCTAGTAGGGCCCGGGGCAGCGGCTGCCGGGTCGGGGCTGCCGCGCGCGGGGTGAGTGCTCGCGGCCGGGGTCGAGCGGCCTCCTGCGGGCGCTAGATGGGCTCGCATCGTGAATATTCATGAGAGGATGCGGTCTGTTGGGAACCTGAGCTGACCGGGAATGAGGCTTGGCGTGGTGGTGCACGCCTTCTCCCCAGTGCTCAGGAGGCTGAGGCTGGAGGATCAAGGAAGGAGTTTGAGGCCAGCTTGGGCTGCATGAGATTGTCTCAAAAATACAAAAAAAGTGGGTGTGATGGTGCACGTATTCGAGAGGCAGAGACAGGTGAGATCGAGACCAGCCAGGGCTACATAGTGAGACCCAGACTCAATAAATAATAAAGATAGAGCGCTAGCGCCCGAGCGCTAGGGGAGGAGTCGTATTCCCGAGTTTGCATGAGGGAGCCAGGTCCTACCGGGGCCAATAAATGTTGTAGGATGCCTGGGTAGGGGAAGCTTGAAGTTAAGACATAAAAAGCATAGGCCTTGGCGTGGAGTTGCAGTCCTGACATCCTAGGAGTTCAAGGTCAGCCTGGGCTACCCAAGGCTCTGTTTCCCACGCACAAAAGGAGGATGCTGGAGAGATGGGGGAAATAAGAGCACTGGCTGCTCACAACTGTCTGTAACACCCTCTTCTGGCCTACCAGGTACCAGGCGTGCACATGGGGCACAGATGTACATGCAGCAAACACCCGTATACAAATTCAAAACAAAACAAATGAAGCAGATGGTGGTTTTACTTATCTGTAATCCCAGCACTCAGCAGGCTGAGGCAGGAGGATCGTCTTGAGTTTAGACTAGCCTGGTTTAGTGGGACTGTTTCAGACCATGGAAAAAAAGTGTGTAGGATCAAGAATGTACTGGAAAAGGGTGGAATTCTTGACACTGTGAATGGTCAGGATATTTAATATATATGCCAAGGAAGCCAGTGCCTGTGAACTCATGAATGAAAAGCTTGACAGTGACCTGGGGAGCAGAGAGCATGGTGCTTGCCTGTAATACCAGCACTAGGAGGTGGAGGTAAGGGGATCATGAGTTAGAGACCAGCTTGGACTATGCAGTGAGACTGTCTCAAAAACAACAACAACAAAAGAAAAAAATCCAACCAGCCAAACAAACAAAAGATAATGACCTGGGCCTTGGACATGAGAATAACATTTAAGCATGTTTATATGGTTTTCTTTTGAGCTATGGAAACTACTCTGAATATTCATGAGTGGCCAGTCCTGGGGAAGGCACCTCTCATTTGATGTGAACATGAAGATAAGGCTTGTCCTTCAATCTGTCATTCTGTTCTGGGCCCAGCTGGTTCTGCCCTGCCCAGAATTTGAGTGGTCTTCACCTGAGGTCCCTGTCTCTCCTGTAGGCTGGGGCTGATGGCCGTGAAGGTGAAGGCTGTGGTACTGTGGGATTGCTGCTGGAGCATTCATTTGAGATTGGTGAGTTCATTGTGTGTTCAAACTTACACATATCCATGAGACCTAATAGCCTGCTGGGGAGAAGCTGTTTTTACATGCCCTATACCTGGCTTCAAGGGTTCAAGGATTGAGTGCTTCCCCAGCATGTCCAAGGGCTTGGATTGCATCTCTGTTAATGGAAATTACATACATACACACATATCACACCACACACATGCATATGTGTTTATGCACGTGTACATGTGTATGTGTACATGTGCATATAAAAAATGTACATGTGTGATGGCTAAAGAAACCCCATTTTATGCCAGGCATTCATTCCATCTTGATACCTACTAGCTGTTTGTCCCTGACTCCAGCACCTGGGAGATAAGTTCTCAGTAACCCTGACTTAGTGACCCTCCACCCAAGAATGTCTGACCGTCTATCTACTTGTTATTATATGGCTAATTGTTTTTTGGCTTCTGTAACTTGCTTACACCGATACTCAAAGGTTGTTTTGAGTTGCTCTGACCACTAGGCAGTTTTTGCTGGCTTGTGTAGATATGGAAGGTCGCCTTTAGAAACCCTTTCCCATACTCCTCCACGACATGCCTGAGATTTAGCTTTAAGGCTGTCGCTCTAGCAGCTAATCAATAAACCTTTTAATTATTGCCGGGGCGGTGGTGGCGCACGCCTTTAATCCCAGCACTCGGGAGGCAGAGCCAGGCGGATGGATCTCTGTGAGTCCTTTTAATTATAATTGAACTGAGTCTATGGTCTTTTCCCAGGACTCACAAACTCCATAACACATGCATGTCTTTTTCTTTCACATTTTTAAAATTTTATTTTCTTTCACAGTTCTAGTTATAGTCCACCATAGTAGGGAAGTCAGTCAGGAACTTTAAACAGCTGGTCATATCACATCCACAGCTCAGAGCAGAGAGAACTAATGAATGCATGCTCACTTGTGCTCAGCCCCTCTCTACACTTAACGCAGTCAGGGCCCAAACCACAGGGGGGGGGGGCCCTTCCTACCTAATGAATGTAATCAAGACACTCGCCCACAGCCCAGCCTGACCCAGACAGTCCCTCACTGAGACTTTCCTCGTGATTCTAGATTGTGTCAAGTTACAATTAAAACGAGCCATCAGGGTCCCTGACTACTCATACTCATGTGGCCAGCTGTCAAATGTTGACAGGATCTCTATAAAATGTACTATTGATTTGCTCTAATAACGTTTTCTTTCACAGAAATTAAATAGAACAAGTTAACATCACAAGTATACATCTGGGTGCACACATGTGCATGTGTATACACATGCATGTGTGTGCATATATGTATGTATGTATGTATACATTCATGTGCACACTCGAGTATATGTATGCACCTGTGTGTGTGTGTCTGGGGCACATGGGGCCCCTCTTTCAGGGAAGGCAGAGCTGAGCCAGCCTCAATATCTGCCTGACGAAAGGGGCTGTGACCAGTCAGCTCAGAGCTTGCTGTTTGCTTTGCCCACAGCTCCTTAATGGAGTCAGGCGCTCGTGACGGTCAGGCCCTGGTTGACCCAGAGAGTTCTCAGAACCATCCCAGAGTTATCCATGAAGGCAGTGCAGGCCATGGGGCCTCAGGCTGGGCTGCCCTGACGGCAGGCAAGGGGCCAAGAAGCCACCTGTCACTGAGATGGGCTTGTTACTGAGCCCAGTTCCCCACAGGTGACGGAGCCAACTTCCAGAAGCGTGGCTCGCTGCTCTGGAACCAGCAGGATGGCACCTTGTCCGCGACACAACGGCAGCTCAGTGAGGAGGAGCGGACCCGGCTCCGGGTGAGCTTGGGGCCCCAGGGCTGGCCCCTGCAGATGAACGGGCTTGGCGCCTGGCCCAGCCACCCCTCCCTGTGGGGTACCTTCTTCAAGCGCAGCCTTGTCCAGGCTGGGCTCTGCCCTGCTCCCGAATGCTGGCATGTTAACAGTTTTACTTCTGCCCGGCGTGAGGGAGGCAGGAACTTGCTTTGCTCTGGCGGCCATGCGCCTGGGTGTCTTCTGTGTGCAGGAAGGCAGCGAGAGCCCGCTGGCTGCCTCTGCCGGCTCCCGTGTGACTCTGCCCTGGCTGCCCCCAAGGCAGCCATTGTGGTCCCTGGGTTGAGGTGTGTATGGGATGGGGCCCAGTGTGGCTGCATCCCGGCTCAGTCGTGCTTGGATGCGCCTTTGCAGATGTGGCAATGGTGTCTTGGGTGGCTTCTCCACCGGGGAGGGCAGCCCAGCTGCTTTAGCCTCACTTGGTAGCCAGGGGGAAGAGTTCTGAGCAGACTCTTGTCAGCCAAGGGCTTTGGGAGGTGCTGTGAGGACAAGGCTGGGGAAGCATTCTCTTGACCAGCCTGGGTGCTGGCCCTGTCCAGTTCATGGGCCTCTGCGTACCCTCCAGGATGTGGCTGCCGTCAATGGCCTCTACAGGGTCCGGGTCCCAAGACGGCCTGGGGTACTTGATGGTTCAGAAGCTGGAGGCTACGTGTCTTCCTTTGTCCCAGCGGTAAGTCACCATGAGGACTGCCTACATCCTCATTCCTGCCTGCCTCAGTGTCCCCACCCTTCATCGAGCCCCTCCTGTGAAGTCCTGTAGTTGGTGACGGTCCAAGGGACCTGGGGATGGGTGTGGGGGAACGCAGCAGAGCTGGGTAGCTCTCTCTCCCTGACTGCTCCTCCCCCACCCCATCTCCCACAGTGCTCCCTGGTGGAGTCGCACCTCTCGGACCAGCTGACCTTGCATGTGGATGTGGCTGGCAACGTGGTGGGGCTGTCGGTGGTAGCGTACCCCGGGGGCTGCCGGGGCTCTGAGGTAGAAGACGAGGACCTGGAGCTGTTCAACACATCTGTGCAGCTGCGGCCTCCAGGCACTGCCCCAGGGTGAGTGCTGGAGGGAGGCCAGGGCCGCTGGCTGCCCAGGCACCCAGCCACTGGGGCTGTAGCCTTCATCTTGCCCTTCCCTTCCGTGTTCAGCCCTGAGACTGCAGCCTTCATTGAGCGCCTGGAGATGGAGCAGGCCCAGAAGGCGAAGAATCCTCAGGAGCAGAAGTCATTCTTTGCCAAATACGTGAGTGTGGCTCCCTCCCCCGCCCCCAGCAGGTGGCCTGTGCGTGTTCCTCTGGTGGGAGGCTGGGGGCTGTGGACCCCATCTGAGTTCTCCAGGGCTGAGTGGCTCTAGAGGCCTGGGCTGGGCTGGGGTCTGCAGGCCCAGGCATCTCAGGCCTGCTGGGAGCAGAGCAGCGTGGAAGGTAGCCGGGTGTGGACGGACAGGCTGTGGGCATGCACGGAGGCCTAGGAGGGGAGGGGCTACCCAGTGCTCAGAGGAGGGAGGGGCTTGAACGGTGAATCCATGGGAGGCCAGGGCCAGGAGGCGGGTAGCCCTGCAGAGTGAAGAGGCGCAGGTGGAGGTGAGAGGAGCCCAGGAGGGCAGCTGCAGGCCTGAGGAGTCTAATGCCCAGGCTTTTGAAGGGGCTCGAGTGAAGGGCAGACCTCCTGAGGAGGCCGGCTGTACGTGGTCCTCATCCCTTGGGGCTGGAGGCTTGTGCCAGGCCCAACAAGGTGAGGGCCCAGCAAGGCCAGCAGGACTCAAGGGTGAGGTGGGAGGGTGCTGAGGCCAGGGACACTGGGCCAAGCACCCTCCCCTGGGGCCTCAGAAGCCCCATGTCCGGACCTGAGGCCGGCAAACCTCAGCCCTTGCGTCTCTGCACGTACTTGAGGGCTGGCCATGACCAGGCTGCTGACCTGCCTCCCTCCTCCCTCAGTGGCACCTCATCCTGGGGGGGGCCGTGTTGCTCACAGCCCTGCGTCCTGCCGCCCCAGGGCCTGCGCCAGCGCCAACGGAGGCCTAAGTGAGGACCCAGACCCCTGCCCGCCTTGCCCTCTGCCCACACCCTCCTGCCCCTGCCTTGGCCCTGCCTGTAGTGACTAGGGGACCCAGCCCCTCCCTCCCATGGCCCCCATCCTGGACCAGCCTCATCACTTACATCCCTTCCTCTCTGTCTCTTTGTCCACCTGTCCCTCCTGCAGTGGATGTACATCATTCCAGTTGTGCTGTTCCTCATGATGTCGGGAGCACCAGACGCCGGGGGCCAGGGCAGCGGTGGGGGTGGGGGCAGCGGCCGGTGAGCAGCTGTACCACCGAGAGTCCCCCAGACCTTCCTGTCCTTGGCAAGCCCAAGAAGAAGTTCCTGTCCCTCCGCCCCCTGTTGCATGACCATGGAAGGCTGCCCTTGCCAGGAGCCGTTGGCCTTCTTGAGGTCCTTCCTTCCTCCCTCCCTCCCTCTGTGCTGACTGAGCCAGGTGCACCTCCTGTAGCCCTGCGGCCCACGGCTTCCCTGGGTGCTGCGTGCCTGGGTCCTGCCGTGCGGCACCGTGTCCCTTTGCCGAACACCCGTCATCACCACCCACACCACTCCACCACGTAGTCTGGGAACACGCCAAGTTCTCTCCAGCCTCTGTGCCTTTGGCCCCACGCCCCATGCCCCCTCACTGTCACACTTAGGCTCCTTGCCAAGGGTGTGTGGCTGGGAGGCCTCTGCCGCTGGTGGCCGGGTCTGCCTGCACAGTGTGTTGAAGCCTCCAGCCCACTTTCCATTTGGCATACTGCACTCTTCGCCCCCTTCCTGGTGCCCCAGAAAACTGTGGTGACTTCCTTCCTGTCTCTGGATGTCCCACTCGGGGTACAGCACCAGGAGAGAATTGTGGGTCTCGTCACTAGTCTGTCTCTTGTAACGTACACTGGCAGTTTGTGTGCTTGTCTTGAGATCCGGGTTTGAGCTAGCTGCTCGACAGCTGCGGAGTGG